CAAACTTACCTCAGTGATGTTAACCTCACTGTAGTGTTTCCAGGATATCTAAGGTTGACAGCCTCTTGAGCACCATATTTTAACTCAAGTTCTAGACTATAAATCCTTTCTGTTCAATATGCTGTTCAATGCTGTCAGAGTCTTCAAAGATTACCAAAGTGTATGTGAGAGCCCCTGGGCTGGCCTGTCTTCACAGAAAGTGAAAGGTGAAGAAGAGATTTTAAATACTCTAATCGCAAATTCAAAAGGGAAAATCAAGTGAGAAATATATGTCTTATAGACCATCACTACAAACTGTCATTTGGAAGCCTGTGGGATGGTTAGCCATTTTTCTGTCTAATTGCAGTGTCCAAGTGGCTTTGACATGCCTTGGTGACAATTTAGCTAATATTATTGAGGTGGGCTGAGAAGCAAAGAAGAAATATAATATTGGAGAAAACGTTTACTGATTTCCTGTAAAATAAGACAGTGGTTACTATAGAGAGACGGTAAAACGTGTTTTATCATGCACAAGCTAAATCACTGACTAAAATAATTTGATGTTGGAATTATGACAAAAGTTAGCAAGTTATGGTAATCTCTTAGTAACAGAGTGATATGAGAACTGTGCATATATGTTTTGGGGTAGCTAAATGCATACAGAAAGCAAGGATGAGCTTTCTAAAGTCAAAAAGGGCATATATAGTCACAGTGAAATTTGTGCGACTGTAGCTAGACCTTCTAATCATCTCTGAAAAATCTCAATTCGTTTGTCATATTATATACTAGAGTCAAGAGAGTATTATTAAGATTGCAAAGTCAGGCATTCAAGAATGAGGTAATGTCAGAATTAAGGCCGTCTGTTCAACCTTAATTTGGCCCCTTGTGAGTATGAATTATGATACTGCCTTTGATTAGATGATCACACGGTATTTTTTCCTTTGCCTCATTCATAACACATGATGGATAGTGCTCACTGCAGAAACACTATTTTGTTTTTTCTTCGTGCTTCAAGGTGTGGCAGCCTGCCTTATTAACTGCATTATATCTTTTTCTGACAGTAAAAGTAATCTTTCCTTCACAGGCTTTTCTACGTGGTTTATCATTACAGCTACAACACACTTAACAAATATTAGTAATTTAATTTTACTGCAGTCCTCAAGGGAAAGACTAAAAGTCCTTCTGTTCAGTTTATTCATCTACAATCTATTCCCGTAGCCCAAGTTTTCTCAAGATTTTTGCCTCCTTCATATTTGGATCAACTTTGAGGAGCAGGTATTGACAACAAATAGGAACCAAACTAGTGGTCCCCATTCTGGTGTGTGCTTTAGGATCCAGGTTCTGTGTGGCCTAGAGAAGGTCAGGAACTGTAGGGAAAACCCAGAGGTTGGATCATTTCCTAAGCTGATAAACACTTTGAAGAATTTAGCTGTGCACTACAAGGAAGTGCAGGCATTTTTTTTTTTTAATTTGGACAAAGACTAGTAGATTTTTCCCATAGAAAAGAAAGTGTCCCTAACAACTGCTACCTTTCTACCAGAGAACTGTCTCCATGTCAAGAGAAAGGTAGAGAAAAGCTTGCTAGATGTGGAAACAAAAAATGTTTTTCACAGATTTGTACTTGGAAATAGATGACTTGTTCTGACAACATTTTTCCACCAAAAAAATAGTTGTCCCAAGAGAAATACCTTTCAGGGGCAATTTCAGCCAAAATGGTTGAGATTTGGCTAGGTTACAAGTGACTTTTACTTTTGTCATCATTCATCCATCATCTTTCTTAAGAATTACAGATTGTGTAATTCTAAAGGGAATGAATACGGTCTAGAGGAGTGCTCTCTGGGTACACAGGCCCCTAAGTTATTTATATCATTGTTCATACATCACAGGTTGGATTTAATGCTCTAAAATGTTTTTGACTTTAAATACTATGATTCAAAGCTCATAGGAGGTGGAAAAATTTGAGATTTGAGAAGACAAATAGAGTTCAATCCTTCTTGGAGTACTATAAATTTCCTCTAGCCAAATGACACCTACCATATTTTGTATCACATATATTGCTTTTGGCTAATATTATTGTTTCAGGGGCTTAAGCCCATAACTGATATCTAAGCTTGCTAGTTTATTGTCCTGAGGTGCTGAATATCCACATATTCATAGATATAAGGGAAGACAACTCTAAGTGTCCCTACTTCGTACCTCTGAAAAGGAGTCTTCTTTCACTTGAACACCTAGCTATGCTTTCAGCTATGTAATTCTGGTCTCTGATGTTTTTGCTTTCTTTATAATGTGATGGCATTATCAACATCACTTGAAATGACATAGTATTAGAAGAAAACTTATCCTGAGCAGGTGCAAAACTCAGTGAGTAAAGGGACCCCTTCTATCAGCAGTTGGTTTGAGGCCTCAACCGTATTGCACTAGTGGTGCAATAAATACAGGAGTGACATTCAGAGTGTGCTCTAGCAGGATGTGTACAGCTGTGTGGCACTTTGGCAATTCTTATTTTCATTTAACAGCTTTTCATCAGAAGGAATCCTTAAATTCAGAGAAAGAAACCATCCCTGTGAAATCACAAAAAAGAAGCCAAAATATCCTAGATTTAAGAGTGGAACATGAGTTATGTAGGTTCTTCAAATGGGAAACAAGTCAAAAGGGTAATGTGCTCTGGGCTTCCCACCCTAAACCACAGTTGATAATCTCCTTGTGGTGCAATGTGTGTCACTGCTGCTGCTGCTCTTAAAAAGTATTGCCTGATTCTTTGGCACGCTCATTTTCCACCATTCCTTTCACATGCTACTAAAGCTTTCAAAAACATTGACTTTAAACAGCTCATAGCTCACTGAAGCATGACTGAATCCATGTTTTGTTTCCTTGCTGAGTTTTGAAAGCCTGTTGAAATAACAGACATCTTACCACCTCCAATAACAACCATCTATTACAATCACGTCTTAGTTATCTACGGATAGAGTAACCATGTTGCAGAATAACTGTGCATATCTGCCAAGTCAGCTCAGGTCCAGCAGTGTAATAACCCTAAAGCAAGGCCACATGGCTACAGCTAATTTGCTTCCAAAGCCAGGTCGAGTGTGTAGCAGTGTACTTGTTTTTATCTGGCATGAAGCCGGGGCTAGCAGACTGAGTAGACTCAAACCAGTTTTGTGCAGAGCCGGTCAAGATTTCTCTGGAGTACCCTCCTGATCTGGGGAGTGCTGGCTGTCTCCGAGGTGCTGCTCATTCAGCTTGGATCACCAGAGTTTACTAGTATCAGCTCAGTGCTGGACCTGTACAGAGCTTTTGGGTTTTGCTGCATTTTGCATCCCCCACACGCTAAGGGGAACTAAGCTCAGCCACAACAATGCACAAGTGAACGTAGTCAGCACAGGTCCGGTGCTCATCCCGGTGTGGTTAAGTCTGTGGCTCATCAGCTGAGAAACACAGCATGGAGACATCTGGCAGCAACAGTGCTCAGTTGGAGCTAACATATCTAACTGGGCTTGATCTAGCTCTGTGCACAGCCACAGGTGTTTGCACTTTGCTTTCCAGAATAGCCTATTGTCCCCATGAGAGCCAGGTTTCCCCCTTACCTGGCTCTTCTCACACCACGTTACCTCTGACAGCAGTGACTTGGCTGTGCAATGGAAAGTAGGAGACAAATGCAAGATGAATTAGTTTCTCCTTAGACTAGATTGTCTGCAATGAGAAAATAATGGCTTTTTCTGTAGAACATTCATTAAAGACTGTATTTGCCATAGCATTCTGCCTGGAAAGGATCAACTGTAGGAGCATTCACTCAGATTTTCTGTTTTCTGAAGTTTGTAGGACAGATACGTAAATTTTCAAGGTTCAAAACTAGCTTTAACATAGTTTCACCTGGAGTATCTAGACATCAGTATTCATGAAACTGTCTATCTTAAACTGGAAATTCTGCTTTTTTTGTGTGTCCTGGAGTTTGTTGACTTTGATGTTAAAAAATGTTTACGGTCTTGCTGAAAGTTTTTCAACGGCTGTGGCAGCTTTACCATAGCTCTTTTCCTGGATTCTTGGTGAGTTCATGGTACAGCCTCTCCCTCTGAGGAACCATTGGAGGATCCCTTTCTTCTGCATCTGGCCACCTATTTCCATGAAATCTCTGGTAACTTGCCTAGTTTTGAAACCTTTACATCTCTGACCAATGGGTTAAAAATAGACTATAGGCAGAGAGACAAAAAGGCAACATAATCTTAGAAGCCTTATTTTTTAAGGAAACCAACCAAAAGAAACAAGCAAAGGTTCTCTAATCTTTACTTAGACACCAAAATCAAATCACATTCTCACTAGTGCACCATTTCCTATAACAGCATGTACATAAACCTAAGTGGACTGTAAAAGATACTGGAGGAGGCATGTCATGATTTGCATTAGATCATTTTCCCCCAACGAACTCTTGTTCCAGAATTAAACCTCTGCTGATATCCCTTTAATAAAAACCACACATAAACATTTCACGTCTTTCAAGTGCTCTGCATGTTAAAATAAATATACTTAAATACACTAATAAATACATGTGTGATGCAAACATCAGGACATCTGAATCTTTAAATTATTTTTAGTAGAATAATTTCTTGCTGAAAAATATTCCTTTCACTTTGTTTATTCTAATTCTACACACTTTTTCTACCTACTAGAGTTCCTTTTTGATTGTCTGATAGTTAAAAAAAACCTGTTGCCAAATTTAGACTATGGCTAGTATTTTTCAACTGATTTCTAATACATACAGGCACGTGCTTAACATTTGCTAATGTGCCTCCCTGAAGTAAGGCTTAAGTACAGCACTCTCTCTGGCACAGCACTAAAGACACTGTCCATTTATTGAGAACTTATGATTTGAAAATGCAGGCTCAGGTCCTGTACTAGGAAAATGTGAAGAAAAATCCTCCTGTAGAAATAACATCATCTACAGATGACATTGCAAAACCCCCAAATATATCATTCATATACCAACAATCCATCTAGAATTCCAAGAATCAGCATGAAGAAACAAATCTGGGGATAATGTGATTTTTATTTAGGTGTATTTAAGAAAAGTTCCATCCTATTCAGATAGCCTATCACTGCAAATAAAACTTGATTGGATTGATAAGACTATAAACATCAATTTAAGGCAACTGTTACATAATGTTACATTACTATTTCTTCAGATACATTCATGCAATTAACTTTTAACATATCTTTACACAATACTTCAAAGTATAGCATTATTTTATTTCCCCATGTTAGACCTATCTGATTAAGCTTTCCTCAAATGATACAAAAAATGGACTTGTTCTTCTTGGTGGAAGTGGAAAGACTTAATGACTTAAGGGTTTAATGACTTATCTGATGCAAGTAATCCATGTTGAGAATGCTGCGGAGATAAATGTACATCCTATATGTGTGTCACATGCAGGCATGAAGAAATAGGAAGGGAGGCTGAAACATAATTAGTGTTCTTAGCTAAAATCATTTTTACTTCACAGGAACCCCCAAAATATCCTTGCATTGAGCAGAGGGCCAATTAAACTGTCTTGTTTCCAAAAGATTCCTCTCCATGCCAGCCTCTGTCGGTGTTGAGAAATCTTCTATGGAGTCATAAAAAATTCTCCATGTTGCATGTAATGTTCAGTCCAGTTTAGGCTTTTCTTTTCCTTCCTCAATACCTGAAAAAATGGCCAGAAAAACCTTTTAAAAATCTGAGCGAACAAAAATAAAGAGTTTACTTAGAGAGGTTTTTCCAATGCTCTTCTTCTTCTTTTCCCTTTATTGTGTCATTCCCCCCCCTACTTGCTCACACGCTCTTCTCATGTGTTACCTCACCTGCTGTGAAAGAAAAGAATATCTGCACACCTGATGTCAGCGGTTGTCCAGTAATGAACTGCATAACCCTTTCTCCCTCCAGACCTTTTCCAAATCAGTCTGAACCCCTGTGGCACACTCAGCCTTTGACTGCTGCAGGGGACTGCCAACACTTATCTCCCTGAACTCCTCTGCTTGCCTAGAAGCAAATTAAAGCAGATGTTATGATAGCTACCACTAGCTGAAGCTAAGCAGCTGACTTTATTTGAAAGCAAGTTCTCAAACTTTTGTCTTGTAATTCAATGAGTTTAGGCCCCCACCCGCACGTCAACATAAGATTTTTCAAAATCTCTAAGTACATCTCCCTTTTCTGAGAGTATGTGAACGAAGAACCAATTACTGTTGCTAGGGTGCCTCTTGCCTCTCGCAATGGCCATCTTTCAGTAATATCAGGAGTGCTGAGTTCAGTGCAGGGCTCCTTTGCTGCAGAGCTTTTCTCTTGTCTATGCTGAACTAAGTCTGGGCCAGGCAGCAGACTGTGTTTTTTCTGGCAACGAAAACATTCAGCTATTTCGTATGCCTGTTCCTGGACAATGAATTACTATCAATATTTGACAGAAGTATTGTTCTTCTGACTAAGCCCTCTCTGCCAAACCTCTCAAATAAAAATGTTTCTTTTGGAGGTTTTCAAGCCTGCCGCATATTGGAAAAGAAAGACTTCTGAAGGCAAAAGAGAAGCAATTTTTGAGAATATCGAGAAGACAACCCAGTCACAAGTAAGTTCACTGCTAATGCAATATATGCATAGATGGCAGTTACACCAAGATTCACTTAAAAAACATAGCTAATTAACCCCAAGATGGAGAACAAGCAGATGTATCTCCACTCAGAAAGCACAACTGCAGAAGTGACTTTGCTGAATGAGGCAACAAGGAAACAAATGGGTCTCTCTATTGCCTAAGTAAACAACAGCCTAAGTAAAATGGACCTAGGCGTTGCTGGCAAGCCAGAATAATGGAAGAACTACTGTCAGAGGTTTAAAACTAAAACAAAAGGATGGGTCCAAAAGATTACAGTGGGTTTACAAGCCTGCTCCAGAGCTCATCTTGATTTCCTGCTTTCTGGTGTAAGGAACTTTTCCAGTAGTTTTAACTGAACTGTTTTATTTACCTTTTAAAAAGAGCCTCTTTCCTTTATTCAGAAGTACTCTTCTGCAAACGCATTGAGTAGTTTGGCAGGAATGATCATTGCCTCAAAACTGTGGAAAGACACTGGCTTGTAGGAAGGGCGAGTTTTTCCTTGCCCACCATGTTTGTGGTTTAACTCGGAAAAACTAACTGCAAATCATTTTGTCAGTAAGGATGGTCTATTTATGCATCTCCAGAGGAAAAGGGAAAAAAATCCAAATGTCAAACACATCCCTCCCCCCGACATTTTCTCAAGGTAGATTCCTTTAATTTGAAAGTTGAGTGCTCAAAAGCCCCTTTAAATGTTGCCATTATAGTTATAGTTTCCAAATAATATTTCCCAAATCTTGCATGGTGACAGATTGTCATTATTTTAGTTTTCTGATGTTTGTGGTATGCCTGTCATACACTTCAGGTTTGATTTAGGCAAACTGTTTCAAGTGTGGCAAAATAGCAGGTGACACATGGGCATTTGCTGGCTTGCAAGTGCTTGAGCCCCAGAGGAACTGGGTCAATATTCTTGGACCAAATCAAGTGGGTAACAGAGAGGATAATAAGGCCATGGTGAGTCTATTGGGAGAATGACCTGAACAACCTTAGCTCCTCCTTAGGGTGGAGGGCCACAAGAACCAGAGATCTTGTTATGCATACTGTGGAATAGTGAGGGAGATTTTCCACAATTTACTTATGCATGGATTTGGTAAGAGCATGTGATTCTTTACCACATCATTATGTTTTATACAGGACTTAGGTCAAGTGAAATTCTTCCCTGTGGCTGCCTTTTTTAGAAACTTACTTCCTGTATGAATGTAAATAGTGTAAATGGATGTGAATGTGACATCAAACTGCAAACTCAAAACCGGACTTGAGTACTGTGACAAATGATCACTGGCTCTAGAGTAAAACATATACTTTGTATCAGGGTGCTTTATATGAGCAAATGGCAAGTAAAACTACTTTGAGCTTCTGGTATCAGGTTCTCCTTAGCATTATATTGGAGGACTTGCTAAGAGATTTCAGCATGCAGTAAGCTACCCTGTGAATGTATGGTGTGCTAACCAGTTCACAATAAGTTTCCCCAAATGGGATATAGGCTGTTCACATGACAAAGGACAAAATTCCCATTGAGCAAGGACTTCACTCCATTTGTGACTTGCCATTGGGGTGGATCAAGAATGTTGTTTGCTTATTTCAGGCATTTGGATAAATGAAAAACATCTTTAATAGATTAAAGGAACCTGCTTTTCATTGTGTGCTTGCCTTATTATCCATTTTCCTTTACTCAGCAATGGGTGGCCTAGGTAGCATACAAGAACGTGAAGTCTACAGAATTATGTTTGCCCTGCAAAGGTGATCTTTCATTCC